TAACATTTCTGTCTCATGCTTGAGGTATTCGGCCAATCACAACGCACTGGATAGCTGGCCAATCACAGCACACCTCGCTTTTTCAGACCGATGAGTTTTGTAAAAATCGACGCGTTTCAAAAAGGCGGGGCATAGAGGAGAAACAATAATGTACAGTATGTGGAAAATAATGTGTTTTTTTAACTTTAAACCGCATAAACACATTTCATTACACCAAATATACAAAATAATGTTCTTTTTAGCAGCATCATATGACCCGTTTAAAGTATGACAAAAGTGAATGAAACATTCCCAAACTTCTTTCTACTATTCTCCTAATATTTCTGTAGCAGTCCATGTGCAGTGACTCTCAAGGTCAGTGTGCCCCTCCCTTGCTTGTTCTGTCACTATTACCTGCATTGAAGGTCTCAGGATATGAATGAGTGTACTGTAAGTGACCTGTGTAGCGTACTGGCTGCTTGGGTACAGCGTTTGTTGGAGACCTGCCATTAATTGCAGATGTTTTTTTTTTGAGAGGGGGAAGAATGGTAATGACAGCTGAGGCAGGTTATTTCTGGCACCGTGTCAGCTGAGGAACCAGGACTGTGGCACAGCTCGTGCGGGAGAATGCCTGCTGGGAAAAGAAACACATGTCTATGGTGACTGCCAGCATTCAGTTTGGTTATAAGGGGTTTGTGGGCCTCAGATATACGCTTTGTTTCCATTTACATCTGGAAGTACAAAAAAAGCAATTAAATATACTTAGTAATTATTTTAGTTTCATTTATGTATTTATTTATTGGCACAGTACCATTCAAAAGTTTATGGTCGGTATGATATTTTCTAAATTCTTTTGAAAGAAGTCTCTTATGTTCACCGAGGCTACATTTGATCAAAAATACAATAAAAGCAGTAATATTGTGAAACATAATTACAATGTAAAATAACTGTTTCCTATTTTATTATTTTTAAAAAAATGTAATTTATTCCAGTGATGGCAAAGCTGAATTTTCAGCAGCCATTGCTCCAGTCTTCAGTGTCACATGACCCTTCAGAAATCATTCTAATATGTTACAAAAGATTTCGAAATGTCATTACTGTCAGTTTTGATCAGTTTAATAATTACAATGTAAAATAACTGTTTCCTATTTTATTATTTTTTTAAAATTTTATTTATTCCAGTGATGGCAAAGCTGAATTTTCAGCAGCCATTGCTCCAGTCTTCAGTGTCACATGACCCTTCAGAAATCATTCTAATATGTTACAAAAGATTTCTAAATGTCATTACTGTCAGTTTTGATCAGTTTAATGTCTCCTGAATAAAAGTATCTACCGGTATATATGTTTTTCATTTAAGTAAAATCTTACTGAGCCCAGACTTTTGAACAGTAGTGTGTATTTTAAGTTCTTTATGAAGTATGTGTAATTATTATAAAGCTGGTCAGATTTGACATTGGCATGCTCATGTCATAAAATAGTCACATGTTTTCAACCACAACAAAAAAGTTCATTGCCCTTGCATATGCCAGAAAGCAAAACTGATTTAAGTTGTCCTGTTAAGTTTTTAATCAAATAGTTTTAATTACTCCATGTAAAACTTGAACTTGGTGGCATAAAGTGGCCTCAAACATATTTGAACGCTTATGCTACCATAAATTTAATTGCATTTGATACAAAATATCAAAGTAATGCAGGTTTCCAAGAGAGCAAAAGAAAATCATCAACTTAATGCCATTTTTGTAACAGTAAATGCCACTGGTCTGTATTGGTTTGATATCTAATGCAGTGACATTCATTTATTTTTCAGCCATATTTGCATATGGTTGAAGTGTCCAAATACTTTTTGAGTCGCCTTTGCTGTCAGTGGCCCAGTTTAACAGCCTCCAGGTCCAGTCTATGATTCACGTGAGCTTGTGTTGTTGTTATATATAAATCAGGCCTGTGGTGGAATTTTCCACAAGCGACCTCCTGCTACCAATAGCAGAACTTGACTTGGATGACTTCTTGATGCATATTCAGCCTGTCTAAACCACATGTTGTTTGCACATCTTTTACAGACCAAAGCACACAAAATGAAGCTGTGCATAAAAATTCTACTTGATTTACTTTATTATTACACATCCTAAAACCCAGCCGTGCTCTGTTTTATAGCTTGAATTCTCAGTTATATTTTTGAAATTATGACTGCAGAATTGGAGCTGTTCCAATTCTACAAAGACTTGCTTTACTGTAAAACCACAAGTCTTACAGAGACCTCATGGATCTACAGTCGATTACAAAGGTCTCAAAGATTTAACAAATTTTTTTTTGAACCACCCATTGATCTTTTATGAACTGCTTCACCAGTTGTTAGTCTGACTCATCTTTATTGTACTGCTTTTCTCTTTGACCTATCTTTGAGTTCAGAATGGAGAATCTGCACAGTTAGAAATGGTCTAAAGCGATATTGGCCATGAGAGCAGCCTGAGATCAGCTTTTCACACTTCAATTTGTTTCTGTGGTACTAGGTTCTCTAAACAGAAAGTTTGTCTGAGGATTGAGTCAAATTTCATGTTGCCGAATAAAAAGATGAACATTTTAAAGATATAAAGAATCGCAATATGAGTTGTTGTAATTTTAAAATAAAAAGATCTAATTTTCAGACATTAAATATTAGTAGTTTAGTACTATTTTTTAATCTAAAGAATTTGTAATTATTTTGTAGCATATAAAATTACAATTTAATAATGAAAAATAATCTAAAGTGTTCTTACATAACACAATTATAATACAATGTAAAGATTTTTTATTTTGTTTAAAAAAATAAGCTATAATAATTATATAGTATATAATGTGTGAAATTGAATGTGTAAAAATACTTTAATACTTTATTTTAAAACAACATGTAAAAATAGAGTAAAATACTTTAGATTTAAAACTACTAAAATCTAATGACTCTTGTATGATTGTATGATAATTGTTAGAATGAAATATAACATTTAAGTATATCAATATAATAAAATGGCATTTATTTATAATGATTTTATATTATAATTAAAATAAAATGTGAATATTTATGCTTATTGTTTCTAACAATTTAATTACTAAGCTAAGTTGTCTTAAACATGAACTCAGAAACCTGCATTTCTCATAGTACCTCGAGAAAACTATTCGTTATCATTCCCATTAATCTCAATGGCATTTGCTCTGCTGGTGCAGGACCCACCTTTTGAACTTTTGCATTTGACATGCACACTTAGGCCCAATCCTAATTCTATTTTATACCCCTTTCCCTGAAAGAATTGGAAAAAGAACCGAAAATATTCCCCTAAGAATTGAGACACCACTACTATACGTCACACATCATCATACGTTGTCTAGCTCCTACAATACACACACCTATAGTGGTGTGCTGGTGTGCATTAGAGCCTTTAATTACCGTTCTATATTAATGTGCTGCTTACTGACAGACACACACACACACACACACACGCACACATATACCGGAGATCGCACAGCTCACACATCCAGGAGAAAAGAAACTCGTCAACGCTGCCCCACCACTTTTATTAATAACAGTTTAAATACTGAATCGCTACATTATATTTTCCAGCAACGAAAGGATAAAATCGCTGTTTTTGAAGTAAACTCACTCTAAAAAGAGAAACGCACAGACGCGCATACACGCAACTTTCATCTCTCTCTCTCTCTCTTTCTCTCTCGAATTGGCGATATTTGAGAAAAGGGTTTAGCGATTTCTAATTATTGGATCGCCCTGATCAGACATGAAAATATGTTGTGGCACTATCGTGCTGTCTGTAATGATATGACGTTAGCCGACTTTAGCGATTTTTTGCAAACATTTCTTTGAGTAACAGGACCGTAAATATGAACTCACGATTGAATGTAACATAAAACAAATGGATTACTTTTCGTTAAAATCTTTATTAATGCCAAAAATGCTTACATTTATGTCTTTTTGTTCGCTCGTTTGTTTGAAGTGTGGTCCCGAAAAATCTTCGTTTGAAGGGCTATCTGGCCCTTCCCCTACCCCTACTACTCCAACCAAAAGAGAATCGAGACACCCCTACCCCTTCACATGAACGCGCGAAACGGAGGGGTAGGGAAAAGGGGAAGGGCTAAGGCATAGAATTGGGATTGGGCCTTAGTAATAAGTTCCTCTCCAGGCTCTGCTTGATTCTGGGATTCCTTGTTTTTTTTTGCAGGCATTCCATACAAACAGCTAACTGTCGGCATTCCCAAGGAAATCTTTCAGAATGAGCGTCGCGTGGCCATCTCTCCAGCTGGAGTGGAAGCTCTCATCAAGCAGGGCTTTAATGTGGTGGTGGAGTCTGGCGCTGGAGAATCTGCCAAGTTCTCCGATGACATGTATACAAAGGCAGGAGCCACCATCAGGGACGTCAAAGATGTCTTTGCATCTGATGTTCTGCTTAAGGTACTGTTAGATTCATTCATTTTACCTTCACTTGGCTGAGTCTTCATCAGCTCTCATCTCTCCGGCCATTCGCTACAGGTGCGTGCCCCCATGTTGAACTCCGCTCTGGGAGTTCATGAGGCTGACCTCATGAGTGAAGGAGCCACCCTCGTCAGTTTCATCTATCCTGCTCAGAACCCTGAGCTGATGGACCAGTTGTCCCAACGCAAAGCCACCGTCCTGGCCATGGACCAGGTGCCCCGTGTTACTATTGCTCAGGGTTATGACGCCCTCAGCTCCATGGCCAACATTGCTGGGTAAGTCCATCTAAAGCAAAAAAATGCATAAGGCTAGCCAACCTATTTTTTGAAATGATACAAAGCATTTTGTATCAATGTATGAATGTTTTTATAATTCAGTAATTGAATTACATTTTTTTAAATATATTGTTATATAATGACAATAATACTAATATTAACAATAGTACTTATTATCATTTTTTAAGTCAATACACTACAGCAGTGGTCGCCAACCCGCCGATCGTGATCGACTGGTAGATGTTTTTCACTGTCCCAGTAGATCCCGAAAAACCCTCAGTAAAATAAGTACAAAAAAGCATTACATTTATGGGGTTATATTAATGTATCACTGAAGGGAACTGTCTTGAGAAAAGTTTCGATGGCAATGGCATTTTCTTCTCCGTATAAAGCGCAACTCTGCTTTGTTTACAGCGATAAACAAGGAAACGCTATATTGCGGTCGGTTCATAAGCACTGTTGCCAAGTCCGCAGTGTTCCCGCGGAATTGGGCTACTTTAACACTGTTGCCGCGGGTTGTTGTTCATGTCCGCGGGTTGAAGCGACCCCAATAACGTGATATTTAGTCCCTGGAATGTGAATTTTACTCGAAGATCCCCGCCGAAAAACGTGTATTTTACCCCCGGAATGCGATTTTTACAGGGAACCCAACTCGAAACGTGATTGGACTAGTTTTATTGCGAAAGCCTGGCAACCCTGTTCATAGGCGCCACCTGCTGTCAGGCAAAACCATTGTTTTTGCACTGGTCAGTTTAGAGATTTTTGGGCAATGTTGATTCCATAACATGCCTTCTTTCAGACTAGTGGAAATAAAACACTCAAAATAAACATTTAAGTGTTTATTTCATTACACTTTATCTATTTACATATGAGACCCTAGACCACAAAACCAGTCATAAGGGTCAATTTTTCGAAATGTAATTGAATAAATATGCTTTCCATTGATGTATGGTTTGTTACCCCAGCGACTTAAGACTGGTTTTGTGGACCAGGGTCACATATGTAGATTTCAATTACAATGCATTGCTTTAAAGGCAGTTTTTTACTTTACTTTACTTTACTTTACTTTAGAAAAAGATCCAAAATCCAAATCCCCGCTGTAAACCTTTAGCTCTAATATGTTAACAAAATGAAACAAGAATTTTGAATTTTAAGATTTCTGTTCTGGAAATGTGTGCAAAGTGCAAACTAGTGCATTTTAAAAAAAATTTATTCGTTCCTCATTTGCATATTTAAATGTATAACATGTCAGAACTTGGAATACAAAATGAAATGTCCTGTAATTAATTGAAAAAGTATAGTGATGTATATTAGTTTAAAAAAATTACCCTATTCACCTGTGGTGTCTTGCCTAAATGTATTTTATATATATATTTTTTTTTATTTATTAGTATTTTTATTATTATTATTTTTTTAGTGGGAGATACTAGACAAATAGACTTCACAGGCCAATCTTCTGTGACCCGTTAACCGAAATCTTGAATTAGTATCAACAGATGTGATATTTGTGGCCAGCGTAAAGTGTCTTAATTCCTGCCTCATCAGCAGCTGTGACTGATGCGTGTCTGTTTTTCTTGGCAGCTATAAAGCCGTGGTCCTGGCAGCCAACAACTTTGGCCGCTTCTTTACTGGTCAGATCACAGCCGCAGGGAAGGTCCCTCCTGCTAAGGTAGAGTTGGCTTAACCGCACGCATGTCCTGAGTGGTTTTTATTTTTATTTGAGTGGAGTTTGCTTGTTTCATTGCCGTACACTTCTCACATTAGGTCTTGGATGAAGATATTAGCACTGTTCATATTTTCCCAAGTTCGATTTTTCTGTTTATTTCAGAGTTTGAATTCTAAAAAGGCTGTTCATATTGGCAGGTGTTGATCATTGGAGGTGGAGTGGCTGGGTTGGGGAAGGTTCCTCCTGCTAAGGTATGCTTGGCATAACCACACACACGCGTCCGGAGTGTTTTTTATTTGAGCTTGCTTGATTCATTGCCGTACACTTCTCACATTAGGTCTTGGATGAAGATATTAGCACTGTTCATACTTACCCAAATTAGATTTTTCTGTTTATTTCAGAGTTTGAATTTTAAAAAGGCTGTTCTTATTGGCAGGTGTTGATAATTGGAGGTGGAGTGGCTGGGTTGGCCGCTGCTGGCTCTGCCCGTGCTATGGGTGCCATTGTCAGGGGATTTGACACCAGGTAAAAAGCCATATAGCTTATAGTTACTCAAGCTAGTTTTTTTTTTTTTAATTAATACTTTTATTCTGAAAGGATGCATTAAATTGAAATGAACAGTGACAGTAGAGACTGTTTTGAACTTTATTTATCAAAAAATCCTAAAACAATGTATCATGGTATCCATAAAAATATTAAGCATCACAAATGTTTTCAACATTATTGATAATAAGAAATGTTTCTTGAGCACCAGATCAGCATATTAAAATGATTACTGAAAGATCATGTGACACTGAAGACTAATGTTTTGAGTAATGGCTGCTGAAAATTCAGCTGTGCCATCACAGGTTTGTTTGATTGGATTCTCTTTGTCAACTTTCAGGACTCGTGTGAAAATCCAATGATCTTTTGGGTTATATTTATGCAAAAATATAGAAAATTCTAAAGGGTTCACAAACTTTCAAGCAGCACTGTGTGTGTGTGTGTGTGTATATATATATATATATATATATATTTTAATGTCATATCAAGTTTCCATTTTCTTTCCTTTTCTGAACCTTCTGTAGGTCCAATTAACATGAAATGTGGCATGTGTCATCAAACTCGAGGACACCAAGACAGTCTGATTACAGATGTTATTAATCAGTTTGTGGTGCTGGGGGGGCGCTATAACTTATCCTCAGAACCATGTTGCTTTGTGTTCATAGTTTGCCACCACAACAACTTTTATCACAATTGCCAAATGTGAATTATAACATTTGCTCCTTTTTTCCAGTCTTTGGCCCTGATGATTCTCGCTTGCAACTAAGCTCTCTGTGTATCCTCCTCCCCCCCCCCTCTTTTTAAATCTGACAGATGTTCTGTTATTTCCGTCAATATTTATAAATTTGAGTTTTGAGTCACCGTTCTGCTTTAGTTTAGACTTATGATGTTTGTTTTATCTGAAAGTCTTTTTTTCACTTTTCCAAAAACAAGAACATAAAAACGGATTGTGCAAGAAAACAGTGACGTCATTGCTAATCCTGCCAAAATGGTTTGAAATGTACGGATTTTAAAAAGCTTCATTTTACTATGATTTAATGACTTTGATCTTACAGCATGAGCCAAGTTTGGTGTATTTAGTTAGAATCCACATACTTTCTGTGCTTTGGATCATAAAACTTGAAACTATCTGCTTGCGTGATTCCATCAGCGTCAGTTCCAGCAAGCTTCCTCTCGGTGGCAGTGTTGCATTAGTCATGGAGTCTTGTCCTCTTCTTCCAGAGCCGCTGCACTGGAGCAGTTCAAGTCCCTGGGTGCCGAACCCCTGGAGGTGGATATGAAGGAGTCAGGAGAAGGCCAGGGCGGTTACGCTAAGGAGATGTCCAAAGAGTTTATCGAGGCAGAGATGAAGCTGTTTGCCAAGCAGTGTTTGGATGTTGACATCATTATCACTACTGCGCTTATTCCCGGTACGCACACCTGCAGCCTTCACCTTTCCATCTTTTTACCATCACATACCCTCTTTGGCATGTACTCTTGCAGATAAGTGATGTGGTGTTTGCACATGCTCTTATTTTTCCATCACTTGACTTTTAAAGGAAGAGTTCAGCCAGAAATGTAGATTTTTCTCTTTATGTGTTGTTAAACCTGTATGCTGTAATTTTTTTCCTGTGAAATACACAAAATAATCTTTTTTTTCTTAGGCTGTCAAGTTCCGAGGGCCCAAAAAGCAGCATACAATAGTCGATATGTCTCTATAGTTATATTCCAAGCCTTCTGAAGATGTGTGAAAACTTTATTTTCTATTAAATTTTCTAACCTTCACCTTTTGCTGTTGCTCTCCAATAAAATGTCTTGGCATTTGTTATTGATGTCCAACCTGCATCATAGACGCTACATTTGGTTTGAAGGGTAAATAACTGCTGGCAATATAGGATTTTAATAAAGGTTGGCTGTTTATTTATTTATTTTTTAATCGGTGTAACAATACTGGAGAAAACAGAGAAAAGGGCTGTGGTGAAAAAAAGGTAGGCTCGATCAGACTATCCTTGAGCGAGGATACAAAAATGTGCAAGTGTGATCTGTAGTTTTCACAAAAGTCCTAAAGCTGTTGAAAAACACTTGCTGACAAATTATGATTAAGTTCCTTTTGTTGCGTTTCATGGAAAATTAATGGCATTTTGGTTTAGAATGACTTGAGGGTGAGTAAATGTCAATTTCAAGTTTTGGTATTCACTATTCTTTTAACTGTGATCCTGGTTTATCTTAAGATCCTTATGTTAATACTTGTATGACTATCGTTGGCATTTTAAAAGAGAAACCGTTTACCCGGCATAACTAATTATGTACAGCATAATTACCAATTTAACAGCTCTGTGGCTGCAGATGTGCTTCATGTTTATTCGAAGCATGTTTTGTCTTAATCTCCATGACTGAGAGCTAATAAAAATCAGGTGTCTATAACAGAGAATGTTTATGAAGTTTCCTGAGTGCTATAAGAGTTGCTTTTGGGTCGCTCTTGCTTTAGATTGGCTGAGAGTTTGTGTTGCTTGTTCAATACCGCTGGCATTTGAAGTCAGTTCCTGTGACTTTTGCATGCTTGTGCACACTCCTGGTGTCACTCCAATGTTATTTTATTTCCATCCCTGAAGCCATGGAGCCACCAGTTGGACTTTTAGTACTTCGAAACTACATACCTGGCAGTATTTAGCACGCTCAGATTGGTAAAATGCATGCGATCTGTTCCACTTTTATCGGAATACCATTTTCTTTTAAAACCAACAAGCCGCAAAGCAGCTTATCAGTATATTAGGTTGCACGCATAAAAGGCACATCAGAGGAGTCTTATTAAATGCATATCAGTCATGGTTTTGGTTTACCAGTCTCACTGTGCTGAAATTATTATGCAGGTCGGAAGGCCCCTGTGCTGATTACTAAGGAAATGGTGGAGACCATGAAAGATGGTTCAGTGGTGGTAGACCTGGCTGCAGAAGCTGGGGGCAACATCGAGACCACGGTTCCTGGAGAACTCTCCGTTCACAAAGTGAGTACACTGCAACAGAACAACAACTTGGGGGTCTTACATGAGCTTCATGTGTTTTTCAGGAACGTTAATGGGTTAGTAAGGTATTTTTATTATTTTTTTAAAATGTAGTTTAATTCAGAATTAATGCATTAAATTAATCAAGTGACATGAAGTTCAAATTTTAAAGAATCTGAATGTTGATCATTTCTAAAAAAAAAGTCTATTTCAAATAAATGCTGTTCTTTAAAACATTCTCATTTACTCTACATTTATGCATTTGGCAGACTTTTTTGTCCAAAGCAGCTTGCATTTAAAGTATACATTTCATCAGTTCATGCATTCCCTAGGAATCGAAACCATGATCTTAGCATTGTTAGAGCCATGTTTTACTGTTTGAGCTACAGGAATGGAAGCTTTCTATTCATCAAAGAATTCTGGAAAAAAATGCATCACGGTTACTTCAAAATTATTAAGCAGCACAACTCTTTTCAACATTGATAATAATAAGAAAAGTTCCTTGAGTAGCAATTCAGCATATTAGAGTGATTACTGAAGGATGATGTGACACTGAAGACTGGAGTAATGGGAATAAAGATATAAAGATATATTACAATAGAAAACTCTTATTGTAATAATATTTTTACAATTACTGTTTTATTGTGTTTATTAATGCAGTATATAGTATAAATAAATAAATGCAGCCTTGGTGAACATAAGTACGGTGCCCGTAAGGTGACATGTTTGGTTCACTTAGTTTTGTCGTGGCCACGACATAACTCGTGTGAACGTGATAATATGTCATGGCCACGAGATATTAATTTGTGGGAATGTCATATTAACTCGTGGGAACGTGATATTATGTCGTGGCCACGAGATCATTTTGTCGAGGTAACGACATCTTTATGTCATGGCCTCGAGATGCTATGTTGAAGGAACCACATCCATTTCTCGTGGCCACAACTTATGTTGAGGGAACGACATATTTTTCTCGTGGCCACGAGTTTAATGCGTAAACAAACCTGCGTGACCATAGCAACCCGGGATTATCAAAAATGGATAAAACATTTTTATTAACATTAAACATTTAATTTAATATTTGTATATTATTATTATTATTATTACATTAACTTATTAGGGCTATATTATTATATTTATTGTTATATATGCTTATTTCCCCTTTCAATTTGTGTATCGCTTTACCTAGTTAACGTTTTGTATAATTATGCTAGCATTTGCTAGTCTACCATATATTTTGTAAATAAACGCCTGACAATTATGCCAATAAAGTTTTGACTTTATGATTGTATTTATGGCCATGTGTGATGATAAATGAGCGTGTTGTGTTTTCGTTTACAAATGAAACTACGTGCAAGATTAATTCCTCAACAAAACACTATAGTAGCCTATTTATAATTATGGTCTATTAGCCGAAATAAAATGAAATATATGTTCAATTTAAACTGCGTTCCAGCAAAAAATCCATTCAGCATAATCAAAGCTTTATTGGCATGTCGAGCATTTACAGTAGGCTATTATTTACAAAAGTATTCCGGACGTTAAGTAAAGAGATCGAAATGAAGGGAAAAAATTAATATAAACGAATATAAAAATATAACCAATAATAATATGCTAATAATAATATACAAATATTATGGGGAAAAGACGATCAGTTAAAATGGATACAGATGTTTTCTTGTAGGCCTTTTTTATATTGTGCACTTTATATAACATTTATTCATGATAAACTTCAATTGAATGCTGACTATTGCACGTAATACAGTCCGGTAACCAAGGCCTATGGCTAATATAATAATTTAATAATGTAGTAATTTCTATAATAAATAATATAATAATTTCTTAATTCAAAATAAAATATTAATGAATCCATCTCTGATAATCCGGGGTTGCTATGGTCACGCATGTTTGTTTACGCATTAAACTCATGGCCACGACATAAGGATGTCGTTACCTCGACAAAATGGTCTCGTGGCCACGACATAATATCACGTTCCCACGAGTTAATATGACGTTCCCTCAAATTAATATCTCGTGGCCACAACATATTATCACGTTCCCACGAGTTAATATGACGTTTCCTCAAATTAATATCTCGTGGCCACGACAAAACTAAGTGAACCGAACATGTCACCTTACGGGCACCGTACATAAGAGACTCCTTTAAAAAAAAAAAAATATCGTACCACACGGAATCTTTTTAGTATTGGTGTATATTATTAGGGTGGGAAATATGGCAAAAATATCATATCACAATTTTTTTTTTTTTTTAAATATCACGATTTTATCACAATTTTTTGTCATGTTGTTTATACTATTTTGTCTGAGCATTACAGCCAAACTAATTTCCCTATTATAAAGACAAAGCCTTTCAAGGTATAACAAAATATAAAAAAAGAATGGCCAAAAATTTAGGCCAAAGATCTTAAAAAATAAGAACAAATATACACATTACAAATACACATAATATACAAATAAAACAAACAGTGTTTTATTTTCAGGTACGATAGGTGTATTTAGCAGGAGCATTCAAGAAATTGAATGAACAAAAAACCAATAAAACACTATATAGATTGATTCCTCTTAAAGCAACTGTATTAAAGTTTTTCAGTCAAGAGTATTGATTAGATTTTTCTCTTTGTTTTCTTGTTTTATTAACATTAAAGGAATGGTTCACCCAAAAATAAAAAAATCTCTCATCTGTCTGTCAATTCTGTCATAGTGTTTTATTTTTATACCATCATTTACTCACTCAAAAGTTGTTTTAAACCTGAATGAGTTTCTTTCTTCTGCTGAACATAAAAGTTATTTTGAAGAACGTGGAAAAACCAAACAGTTGCTGGTCCACAGCGACTTACATAGTATTTTTTACTACTATTAAATTCAGTGTGGACCAGCAACTGTTTGGTTTACCCATATTCTTCAAAATATCTTCTTTTGTGTTCAGCACAAGAAATAAATTAATACAGGTGTGGGACAGCATGTGAATGAGTAAATAATGACAGAAATTAAATTTTAGGATGAACTATCCCTTTAATGACAGTCGGCAGCATGTTTAGTAAATGTAAACCTTGTGTGTTTTGACAGTATTAGCGCAAATGATAACTTGGTTCAGAAATCAGGCACTGTTTGACAGACTTTTTATGCGCTCAGAAAACGCACACGTCAGAACAGCACGTGAATGAAACATTTAACTGGCAAGGTTTTAAAGCAAATATGCAAATAATGTACTTTTGTGACTGCACATAAGTGCAGTGTCCTGTAAGTGTAACTCTACTGCTAACACTGAATGTATGTCGCGTTGTACAGTATATTGCGCCAGAACTGCAGCTGATAGAATGTGCGCTGTAGCACGATACTACGATATTTCTTCAAAAGCAGATCGTGGAGACATTTATATCGGCCACGATCAAAAATCGTCATATCGCACACCCCTAGTGTATACTTCTTATTTCATTAAATGTATTTCTGTACTTTCCTATAGGGTGTGATCCACGTTGGCTATTCTGATCTTCCCAGTCGCCTCCCGACTCAGGCCAGCACATTATACTCTAACAACATCATCAAACTCATCCGAGCCATCAGCCCGGACAAGGAAGTTTTTCACTTTGACATCAAAAACGAGTTTGATTACGGCACAATGGACCATGTCATCCGCGGTTCAATCGTTATGCAGGTAAACCTTTTTTTTTTTTTTTATAGCTACTGGAGGACATATAAACACTCTTAATTTTGTTACATGTTATAGGCCACATCCTAAATCAGTAACCTTTCTTTCAATTATATACAAAATTTGACACTCAAACATCTAGCAAAATCATGTTTTTTTTAGTTGAAATTGCATCTGTGGGAGCCACAGCTGTCCCAGGGCAACATATCTCACTTTAAGATTTGACATTTACTGATATAAGGAAAAATTGTGTGAATATTGTGTGAGTAACACATGAATAATTATTATTATTATTATTATTAGCATCCATTTATTTTTAATTGAATTGAGCAAATTTAATCAATTTTGTTATACCAAAATACTGGTGAAATAAGCATCAAAATTGTTTCTGGACTTGTCGTGCGTGTGTTCTCCATGGATACACTAAAGTTGAACAAATACAAAAATGTGTCCGGCATAAGATGATGTTTAATCCAGTCTGGCTGTTGACCTAAAATGGGTTTGACAGCCCTGAGCTAAAGGATGTGAGCAGTTTGAAATTTATGACCCAATATCTCTCTGGCGCTCATTTAGCTTTCAAGGAGTTGAGTTGTGGTTTTATTTGAATTCTGGCTGTCACTCTCTCTGTCTGTCTGCAGGACGGAAAAGTGCTTTTCCCTGCACCACAGCCTAACAGCGTTCCAGTGGCGGCACCTCCAAAACAAAAGACAATCCAGGAGCTGGCGAAGGAAAAGGCAGCTTCCATCTCACCCTTCAGAGCCACTCTGAACACGGCTGGGATGTACACCGGAGGTAAATCACAGTCCGGCTGCCCTTCCTGCCTTCCTCTTCCCACCGGATCTCTCCGGGTCCCTCCTGGGGTTAATATGAAAGCGGTTCCCTGTGTGTTTTAAGAGGAAGAGACCGCTGTATTGGTGGTCTCTGACACTGAACTATGTTAATAAGGTTTTCGTGTAAGTTTAAAACGGCCCCCTTTATTGCCTTTGAGATTAATCCGATTTTTATTTTCTTCCTTTTATCCACTTAACAGTCTGCATTGCTCAGAAATCCCCAAAATAGCAGCTCCCCTGTTTGGCCGCTTTGTCCCAAGATGTGATTAGACTCCAAAGCCCCGCTAAACTAAACGGCACACAAATGAATTCTATTGGTTGCAGACGCCTGAGGATCACTTGTGTGAGGAGAGGCAACTTTGGCTTCACATCAAAGCGCTCACTTCCTCACTCAGACAAGCCGCAAATACAACTCGCACGTAAATAAACACCGGCTGATAAACAAACATGCAAATGAGATTTTCCTGTCCTTTCATGGTTTTCCTGTATCTGTATGAGCTTAGGTACAGGGAATCCTGACTTGCTCGGAAGGCCAAAATCGCTACCTTTTTAAAAATCACACGATTGGTCACATAATTGAGGAGCAAGCTGTTTTATTTTCCACATCACCTTGGCCCGTTCTGGCATCTGAATGCCAGGAACCTGGGATGGTTGTGTTGCTCCTTCCCTCCTGCTGTGTAGAGGTTTCCTTACCCACATGGCCAATGGCTGGTCTGTGAGTTGGCAATACCAAATTGGCAATACCTATTATTAATACCACTGGAAATAATAATAATAATAATTTTATTCATTTATTTATGTATATCACACACGCCAGTAGATTTAATTAATATCATCATCATCATCATCATTTTATATAAATATATAATATATAAATATAATATTGAAAAAATATAATAAATATATAATTATTAATTTGTATTTATTTATAACTATGAATATAACTATAATATCAGTATTTGTTGTTGTTGTTATAATTATGAAATCGTATATATTTTCCAAAAAGTAGTTATGGGAAGTTTTTTCCAGCTTAATACACTTATTTTTAACTTTAAAGTTTTAAAATTGAATGAAGCAGACAACAAATGTACCCTATATTAGAGTTGAGGTGGCAAGTATACATGACCCACAGCAGTGTTGATGTTTTGAGAGGATTATGGGATGTATAAACTGGACACATTGCCCCTGGCACTCGGCTGATTTGTCGTAGCAGTCAAAATTACCTTAACTGAAAAACAAACCTATAATGTTTGACATCTTGTTATTTCTACTCAGGTCTGGCTTCAGCCATCGGTCTTGGGATATGTGCTCCCAATGCTGCTTTCCCTCAGATGGTTACAACCTTTGGCCTGGCGGGAATCGTGGGATACCACACCGTATGGGGCGTCACTCCTGCTCTTCACTCCCCGCTTATGTCTGTCACAAATGCTATTTCTGGTAAGTTAGTAAATCAAGTGCACAACCAAAGGGAAAGTATTTGCTAATATATAATTTGCTTAGTAATTGCTAACCTGAATTCCTTTTTCTTTATCATATTATGTATGTAAATTTACTGAGAAACTGTTGATGGAGGTGGAGAAACTATTGAAATTTCTGATATTAAATTTTGAAATGTCACAGGATCTCAGTTTATCTCAAGCACAGGTCATCAAAGTGCTTTTTCTTAATCTGAGTTTGCCCTTTAGCTACGGAGGGCTCTCAACTGTGTGTGAATTACCCATTTGCTTTAATGGGCAGAAAATGTCACCTAATTTTTTTTTTTTCCTCCCACCCTTGAGTTAGTGTCTGCGATGGGCCGATGTAGCCCACCCGTTAAGTGGCGAATTCAGCTCTTCATTAGTCTAAACTTAAGGGCCCAGGGTTCAGCACTGTTCAGAAGGCCACGCCATCATCAGCCAGGCAGATCAAGGATGCTTCTGTGCTTCGTTAAGCTTTTATTCATTTCTCCCAGTGGGCTGAGAAACCAGGAAAGGTTTCATTGTTTTTAACACCACCAAGTCCTTGGTGGTCTGCATTAAAGAGTCCTTTGTCAAGAGAGCTATAAACTTCACATCAAGAGTGTGGGGAATCAACTGAAGCAATTAGTTTCCCTCGACCTACTGCACACTTCCTGTGAATTACTTTATTAGTCTTGTAGAGACAGTCTCTTGCTTTTCTTTGTCATATTTGCGTATGAGGTGTTACATATTTGACACTTATTGAACTGTGTCTTTCACAGGCCTGGAAATGTAAGCAAGTTGGAATTCGCTTATTTCGGTGCCAAAAGTAATGAAGCTCTCACAAAAGTGCCTGAGACGTTAAGCCACTAATGTGGAATTTCTCATTCTTGTTGAAAGTGTGGGAGAACTTTTCCAGAAGCATAAAGTTACTCCTGGTGGAGTAGAGTTCCTCTCTTGCTCTTTAATCTACCTGAAACTGGTGAATCAGAATGACTCCACATCGCTTGATATGAACGTTTGGACATCACCCGATCCAAGGAATCTTTTCTGATGAACTTAAGCTATTAGATATTGGTTTTGGGTCCATTTTGGTGACGTGTTGGTGACCTAATGGATGTGTCATTGCTTAAAAGAGCCGTGCTTTCCAAACACCTCATCGCATTATTCTCCATGATCACAGAAAGTCAGAAATATTATCCAGCCATTAGAACAACAGCAATCCATTTGTGGATTTTGAGCAGACTCCAGCATCTTTCATATTCATCCAAGGGTTTTATTTTACAGATATCCAGGCCTTTGCATGTCTGGGTGTGTGTGTGGCGGTTCGTGCCTGTGTAGGTTTACAAATCGTCTGTTGCATTTCCTGCAGCGTTGTGGTAGCGTGCTCTTGGCCTGCAAGCTGGTCTGTGATCAATTGTTACTTCAGAATTACAAAGTGAGAGGAAATGCTTACCAATAGTTACACACTTCATTGACTTAAGATACCGCTACTATCAGGGCCACCTCAGGTTTGGTCAGTCGAGTCGATGCCGCGGAAGCATTTGAAAACTATTAAAGAGGTGATGGTTATCAGATTTCCCTTGGGGATGCCAGTGTTGTCCTCGTTAATTCCCTATCAAAATGAGTTACAAGTGACTTGTTTTGAGCACTGAGAGTGCTGTACCAGTGTCAAGCATATTACGTAAGACTTCTAGTGGAATTTTGCTTTATTAGAGGGTGAAACTGACTGGAAGAGGTGTCATAAGCCTTGTTTTTCTGACTTGAAATAGTCACAGTTTTGAAGCAAATCTGGAAACAAATGCAAATTCCATCTGGTGAATTGTCAGAAATATTTATCCATATATGCTTTATTAGTCAGAATGGATGGAATAATTACATCTGGCTCCAAAAATCTTTCTCCATAGACTCCATAGCATAGCTATTCCACGATAGCGCTGTATTCTGATGAAATGCTAATTTTTTGCAATCAATGTCACTAATATTTGTATAGTAAATGTAGTATCTAGTAGGGCTGCACGATAAATCGAAATAAAATCGAGATCGCGATTCGACAGAAGCTGCGATTGTCATGCGTATCTTTCAGTGAAGCACGGTTCTGTGATCAGCAGTAAATCTCCATCCAAAGGCCAGAGGGCGCTCTCGCGCTGAAACTCCAAATATGCCTTGCAGAAGAAACCCAGAAAATGCCTATGGTTTTTTTTTTGTTTTTTTTTTGCATGTGTAGTAAATTCTGCTCCATCTGAAAGCACGTGATGAAGATTTACTGCTGATTGCAGATTGCTTTACTAACAAAATGCGCATGACAATCGCATTCGATTAATCGTGCAGCCCCTAGTATCTAGTATATAAAGTGTAGTAGCTATTGTCAGCACCTGTATTTTTTATTTTATTTAATAAGTTGAAAGATTAATATAAAAAAATATTTATTTTAAACTACATTTGTTTTGAAAATCCCTTCCTTCCTTCCTAATTTGTGGAGTATTCTGATAAAATTTGATTTTTTTTTTTTCAATCAACATTTTTATTTTAAAATGAACTAAGATTATTTTGATTAGATTAAAATTCATTTATTCTTTCAACCATTTAAAATTAGTGATGTTCTCATGCAATGCCAATTTTTGCAGTCGATATATGTTGCTAATCCTTTATTATAGTGTAGTAGCTGTTATCAGCACCCAATATTTTTTTTAAATAAATATTTTTATAAAATTTATTTTGAGAATTATTTTAAATTAAAATGTAATTAAAAGTACTATTTGAATGTTTTATATATTCATTTTAAATTAGGATTCTTTTAGTATTTGAAGAAATACATTATTTAAAATGTAAGATTATCTTTTTATTTTTTAGAATTAAAATATTATAAAATGTATTACAATTTAAATATATTTTATTTTTTGTTTGTTTGTTTGTTTGTTTGCGGATATAACACGGATGCCATGTGTTTTCAGGTTTGACTGCTGTTGGTGGCCTCTCCCTCATGGGTGGTGGATTTCTCCCTAGCAGCACAGCCGAGACCCTGGCCGTACTGGCTGCTTTCATCTCCTCTGTCAACATCGCTGGTGAGTGCACTGAACACACGATCCTGTACCTGCCAACAGCGAAATGCAAGATAAAACATTGCTAAAATGTTTGTCGGAGGCTGAAAGCTGAGTAAGATTACAGATGCGAGCAGGTGAGGGCTCTGTACTCTGTTCGCTTGCTGCCCTCTGGCTGCCCTGCATCTTGTGTTCGTGAGAAGAGCGCCGTATTCCGTTCCTTCCAGGTGGAATAGTTTAGTTCGTCAAACCTCACACCTGAAACAGGAAATGTCAGCACGGCAGTTTTGCTTCAAAGAGCCTCGTCATGTCATAAATCAGTCTCTGATCAAAACCAACCAATAGGGCCATTAAGGAGGAAAAGGGAAAAAAATGGCTTGAAGCAGGCAGTTGGCCAAAATGCCATCCTGAATCCAATGACCCCTTCATTTTGCGTCTTGGTACGGTTGGCCAAGACACCAGTCCAGGTCAGAGGGTGAGTTAGTGATTTAATGGCATGCTACTAGGCTTTTACAGACATTTTTCATCATGCTACAATAACAGCTTTTTGATATGTGTTCCAGCGCACGTAAAGTGTCTGAATTTATATATTTATCTTCTCAGAAGGCAGGTGTTTAATTTCAGTTGAAAGATGGTTTTTGTTATTTCCATTCCTCATACACGGTGTTTCGTCCCACAGTCCCATTACCCATAAACCTTTGAGTTAGAAATATGGACATTCTAGTCGCTTTTTCCTATCCTCTTTTCGACCAATTTTATTGTTACAAGTGCATACAGGGGAAAAATAACAATTGCCCTTTCCAATTTAATTTCAATAAAAGACAAGGAATTTATGGTGAACCTGCTCCATTAATGACAGGAATGAAAACATATTTTATTCTTTGGCCCGGCTGTAATGTCTGGATATCTTTCACATTTAATTGTGGGAAAACGGGACGTTCTTTCTAATGCTGTATACATTGTGTTCACCCGTCTGAGTGCATTTACTTCTGAGTTTAAATATTTCACCGGGATCCTCAGAGGAACGGGTCACTAAGGTTTGAGTGAAACTGGATATCCGTCTGAGTTTCGAATAAAAAGCTTTGGTTTGGTAATCGTCCTAGTAAGTTGCTTAGCTAGGACGGCGTAAGCCAGGAAAATGAATGTAAATGCAATCACATGGCAGTTTAAAAATACTTCGCTAATGAGCAGCAGATGAGTGACTCCCGTCATTCTTCATGTCATCCTTCTGCAACTCAATTAGGATGTTTTACACATTTAAATTACTTGATGTTAAAAAAAAGTTATATACTGTATATAAATTTGATATAATATTAATAACTTGTGTACTGTTTATACTGTGTTCTGTTTTGTTTGATTTTGTTTGATCAGGTGGTTTCTCGGTTACTCAGAAGATGTTGGACATGTTCAAGCGGCCCACTGATCCTCCAGAGTACAACTACTTGTATCTTCTTCCTGTTGGTTTGTTTGTTGGAGGTTATGGGGTGGCTCTTCAAAGCGGCTACAACATTGAACAGGTAAAACTGCATTACTTAATTGCAACTCTTCTGCACTTTTTGTACTGTGGACCTGAATTTTGCCTCAAATCATGCAACTTGAGTTACTTTGGTTAATTCGTTCGTTTATTTATTTATATAGCACCTTACAGGCTACACAGTAGCTCCAAAGTGCTGTACATTTGCTGTACAACATCCATATACTAATGTACTAAAATGCCAGAGAGTACAAATATGATTTTAAACGGTCCTTAAAAACATTAAGAGTTACAGAAGATCTAACATTCAACATATTCCACAGTCTTGGGCCAGCGATAGAGAAAGCACGATCACCCTTCAATTTGAGACGTGCTCTGTGAATTGTTAAAAGAAACTTGTTTGATGATCTTAGTATTACGCCTGAACTAAGCTCAGCTAAGTTTGAACTTACACTTCTCAATATAGCAGATGATAACAGACAAAAAAGTTGCATATAGTTACAGTGAAGACCGTGTTAAAACTATTACAAATAATTTTTGTTAATTGAAATAAAGCTGAAATAAAAAACAATAAATATAAGATGTAAAAACTTTTTATTTTATCTTTTTAAACTTTTTATTTATTTCAGTTAGTTGCCATGGCAATGTTTTTAATTTTTTGTTTATGTTGAAGTACTAAAACTACTAAAATAAAACTGAAATAAAAATAAATGAATGCTAAATGGAACTATTAATAATAATAATGACAGGAGCTCATAACAAATTAACACAAACCAAAATTTAAATGAAAACTGAAAATATATCTTGTATTATATAATGTAACAGTGTATATAAATAAAACTAAAATAACACTGGTTGAAGGAGGGATGTAATCTAGTGACCAGAATATCAAAGATGCATAGCAACATGATAAATTCAACTCAGAACACCATAGTAACTTCCTGGCCATGGTGAACTGTAGTTGTGCAAAAGAGAAATGGATTCTGGAAGATTTATTTCCTCACTTCCTGTAAACCTTCCCTTTGTGTGCAGATGATGTACTTGGGCTCTGGCTTGTGCTGCGTGGGGGCTCTGGGGGGTCTGTCCACCCAGTCCACGGCCCGTCTCGGTAACACCCTGGGCATGATCGGAGTGGCCGGTGGCATTGTCGCAACTTTCGGAGCACTAAAACCTTCCCCTGAGCTCATGGCACAGATGAGTGCAGCCATGGCGGTGGGTGGCACTGCTGGTGAGTACATGTGTGTGTGCTTCTGTCTGCGTGCATTTCTTCTTTAGTCAGTGGCCTTTGAACCTCCAAGTGTGTGAATGTAAATGGCAAATGGCTTTGTGATTTCCCCGCAAAGCCAGGTAATGGTCATCAGGTCGTGTGAGTCACACAGCACGGTATCACGCTTTGTAGCCAGTCATGTCTAATCTAAATTGCTAATTATTCCTGGAAACCTGCTGGAACGTAGTTTAAACCGTCCCGACCAGCCCCAGCTCAAACCAGAAGTCTGCTTGATTCCAGATGCTTCCACCCTGAGGTCTCAGCCCGCCCCAAACATGCCCCCTACACACTCTTTTCCCCAACCTGCACTCCAGATTCACATCAACACACACACCGCTTCATCGGATGTGACCCGTTTACCAGCAGGCCTGAATTCCCCTTTCTTGTTTACAGGTTTGACCATTGCCAAGAAGATCCAGATCTCGGACCTGCCGCAGCTTGTCGCCGCTTTCCACAGTCTGGTGGGTTTGGCGGCCGTGCTCACCTGCGTGGCAGAGTACATGGTGGAGTATCCCCACTTTGCAACCGACCCTGCGGCCAACCTCACCAAGATCGTGGCCTACCTGGGGACCTACATCGGTGGAGTCACCTTCAGCGGATCTCTGGTGGCTTATGGCAAACTTCAAGGTCCTGCTTGTTTGGTTATATAATAAAAATTAAAGGGATAGTTCACTCGAAAGTGATAATTCTGTCATAATTCAGTCACCTTCTTGTTACAAACCTGTATGACTTTTTTACTGTGTAATACATAAGAAGATATTTTGAAGAACAGCTTATTCGTAAAATGAATGTCAGGGAGTCCAAAACAAACTGTTGTTTTGTCCATACAATGAAAGTCAATGTGGCCCAGAGACATGTACTGCGAACTGAACTGCTCCGAGATACTAAAACACAGGATCATGAGCTGATCACATATAAAAGAGCACAGTGCTGCCACGCTTCACTCTGAAATACACAACGCATATATTAAATTAATTCAATGAGAAGCTTTTTGATTTTATATTTGCACTAGGGATATTGTGGTTCAGTTTTATTTCTATTAATTGTGCAGCCCTATTAGAAATCCCAATGTTGTGGGTCCAGGTCCTCCTTGTCTGGTGCAGCTTTGTTTGTTAACTCACCGGCCCACCGGTGCCACACATGCCTCATGTTTAAAGCTTGGCCAGGCGGAACCTCTCAGAATTTGGCACTAATTAGTCCCTCCGCCCCCCAGTCATTTTCCACTTGTCCCTCAAAGCTGGAACGCATTATCTTCAGGAGCTTTCCCATTCCTCAACCACTACAACCGCTCTGAAGCCTGCAGGCCTTCGCTGATAAAACAGATTAGAAGTCTCATTTTTATCCTTGTGAGTTTTTCTTTCAGCCTAAAAGTGGGGCCGGTGTAGAATACTGTACATAATCACCCAATCCAGCTGTATTGCTAACTTGTTACGCAGCTGATGCTAAAGAGTTATTGATTCAGCTCCTACCAGGGGTGTGAAGTAACGAATTACAAATACTCTCGTTACAGTAAATAAGTAGTTTTTATCAGTAATTGTACTTTTTTGAGTAGTTTAAAAATTGTGTACTTTTACTTTTACTTGAGTACATTTTAAGTGATGTATCGGTACTTTTACTCCGCTATTTTCCTCCGTTTGTGGTCGTTACATGCTTATTTTAATTAAATTTTTATCCATCAATGTGATTGGATAGAGAGTAATAGACTGAATTTTTCCTGTGCACACATACTTGTCTCGTACATATTCTAATAGTTTACAGAGCGCTAGCAGCTGCTTAAAGAGCACTTTAACAACATGACATGCATTTGTGTACTTCTGTTTAAAGCATGACTTAAAACAAGCTTCTCGTTTCCAAGAAGTTCTCACCCTAATTTTATTTCACTCATCGTGTTCCCAAACAGCACATGTTGTCCGGTGTACGTGCTAACCCACTTTTTGTGTTGCCCTTCTCACTTGACTTCCTCCTCTTGCAGGTCTCCTAAACTCAGCTCCCCTTATGCTTCCTGGTCGTCATGCGCTGAACGCCACCCTCATGGCAGCCAGTGTGGGCGGCATGATCCCCTACATGCTGGATCCCAGCTATACCACTGGCCTGACCTGCCTGGGCTCCGTGTCTGCACTCTCTGCCGTCATGGTAAGGGATTCACACAGGCTTCCAAAATTGTATTTATTAAATTTTTTTGGCCATGTTATCTTTTATTAATTTCTTGAGTCTTGCTGGGTGGTTCAGATGGGGGTTTTTTTTGTTTTTTTTGGTAGGGTTATTTTTCTTTTTTGTTGTGCTTGTTTTTTTGGGGGTTTTGTTTTGTAAATGACTTGGTAGCTGATGGCTCACATAATATTTTAATTTAAATAAAATGTTCATTTGAAATTAGCGTTGTTTGAGATATTGACCAAAATTTTTAATTTCAAAACTAAATTGTTTTTACAATCAATAATAGTAATAATGACAGTTTTTAAGTATGTATGGCTTAAAGTCCTTTGTTTTTTTTTTACTTTTCTGTGAAATTAGGCAGATAAATTATAATGGGCAAGAAAACATGCTTTTGCATTTTTCCAGTCTCTATTGTATGTATGTGTATATATGTGTAAATATACAGTTTAGCCATTAATGTGCACAATTTAAAACGTTTTGCACAGTATTTACTCTAAATTCATTAAACTCATTAAATTCATTTTGTTGTGATTACTATTTGTATTGTTTGTTGGTTGAGCCTTTGTCTAAAGACAATTTTCTACCCCATTGGGGATAGAAAAAGCTTTTTGAATTTAGAATTTTTTAATTTGAAACAACAGAAAATGTGCACTGTCCATTGACAAGACTAGATTTGGAAGTGATGCTTGGAGGAATTCTGTAAATCAGCATGTTAAAATGTCCAAATATGACATGCTCCATCAGCCAATATATTGGCCTACCGCTATCTTAAGTAGGGACAGTTGTTTATAAAATTGCACATTTGGTTAGTATTCCATTTAGTCTTGGTATGAGGATGTAAAGATTAAGATTTTGACTGAGGTCAGAGATTGATAAGATTGTGTGCAGCTACAGCACATACAACTTCTGTTCAGTGTTTCAGAACGCCGTGACATAGGTAAACCCTGCAGCTCGTGAAACCTAAATCCCTTTGCTTTTAGTTTTATTTATTTATTTTATATAATCCATAAGAGCACACCACCATATGTTGACAGATAGAAGTAAACCACAATCATGAAATTTCGAGGGAACGCTCCCAGAGTCTTGGTAAACATTGGCGTCATGGAGCTTTCGTCATTTGTCAATAATCAGGAAGCTGACATTTTTATACAGCTCCTTTTACCTCCATAAAGATAAACAATCACCTGCAGTATGGTGTCTGGCTCTTTTTACACCGATTATTCTTCATATTCTCCGTTTTTTTTGCTTGTTCGAAGGTATTTTTTTACATGATGTGTGGTAGGTGGCTTTGTTTAGGCCTTTTCCCTGAGGAAGGTACATTGTTTAATAATACAGGGATGATATCATGGACGAGTGAAACGAATACTGTGTTTTGACAAACACCTCATGCCTTAATTGAAGCCCATTGCAACCAAATCTGTGTGAAATATGTTGCTCTGGCTTGCTCTATATCGCATTTCCTATTTGCATCATCATCACCCAGTGTGTAAATGAACAGACTCATTTTATAAAAACAAACCTTGTGTACAATGCTAATACTTCAGGCTTGTGATTTTTCTTTTGGTGGACTTTCTTTTTGTTTAAATGATGGAATCGCGTTACTGTTGTGCTTTGCTCACTTGTCATCACCGTAACCTTTGATCTCCACCCTTTTTCTCTCTCTGACACTCTTTCTAACCCTGCTTTTCGTTGTCTTTGTAGGGCCTGACCCTGACAGCCGCCATCGGAGGGGCTGACATGCCCGTGGTGATCACAGTGCTAAACAGCTATTCCGGCTGGGCCCTGTGCGCTGAAGGCTTCCTGCTCAATAACAACTTGTTGACCATTGTGGGTGCTCTCATTGGCTCTTCTGGAGCCATCCTCTCCTACATCATGTGTGTGGTAAGTTCACAGTCTCAAAGTTCACTCCATGATTTTGTTCCCACCTCTTTTAATAATAACATATTCTGAATGGTGAATGGTGGTCTAAACATTGTGGTTGTTATCAGTCTTAAAACTGTGGCAATGTTTTCTCCAGCCCACAAGCTCTAAAAATTATTTCAAATATTATGTATTTTTTTTAATGAATCTTTACATATGCATTAATATGCATTAAAGGGGTCATATGATGCTGCTAAAAAGAACATTATATCAATCATCAGTGGCAAAAACTCATCAATCATCAGTGGCAAATTCTTTAAATGAAAACGTACTTACAGTCCATCGTTCCAGGTAATGGAGGCCCTTTGTAGCCGTGCACATCTGAAACTACTTGGTTTAAACTAAATCTGGAGCGTACCGTCAGCGACTTCAAACAATCCTTTGTTATGTCTGTTAAAGCAACCTTGCTTCACCCATATTACATCACTGGTAATTCTCTGACCCCTCCTGTGCGGAACAAACCCCTCAGAGTGCACCCTGAGGCCTGCTGGGGCTTGTTCTGAGGTGGTCTTGAATTCTCTCTCGTTTTTTTTGAAGCCCTAGACACATTCGTGTGCACTTTTTATCTGTCTGTTAGGGCTCGACTCCTCTTCGGCGTGTTTTTTTTATGGGATGGCGCGGTTGGCCTCCCGTGGCATTGTTCGTGTGAGGCGAGCTGTGGAGGGTGGTGTTAGTTTTATCTCTTTTGGCAGGGTCGCGCCATGTTTCTTTTGCCCAGATACAGCTGACTGATTGAGCAGGATGTCAGAAGAACTTTAACTGTGTTTACCTTCAATACAAGTTCAGTTGGCAAATAATTTAGTTGGAGTTGAATGTTTTTCTGTGGCTGGTTCCTTTAAACCATCTTTGCATTGGTCTCCGTAATGGCCTCCAGCAATGGCAGCAACTCTCACGCTGCTTTGTTCTCCACAACGCAGTGTTTTATAGTTGCGTTTTATGATCCGACAGCAGGTCGAGAAGATCAAGACCTTGGAGGCGACAGGACAGTGGAAAAGATGAGCGATTAGATGTGGGAATACGAACAGAAAGAAAAGGAGAAACGATAATAAATAGCGCAGTCCAGAGTAAACAAGACTGCAGAGCCAAGCACAACAGAGACGGCCCCTTTTATTTAAAACAAATGGCTCTCCAACAGGCTCTGAGGCATCCAGATTTTTCCTTCTTGACCGTTGCCTGTTTAGCCACTGCCAAGATGAGAAAGCCCTTTGTTCACTGACAACACAGGCCTGACCATCGTGAGAACCAGTCTGGTAATCAAGATTGTAGCTTCAAACCCTTATTCCCCATCACTGTAGTCTCCCAAATCACTGTAGGGCCCAACAAAACAGAGTTTTTTGTTTTGTGGTGTTTCTATACTGTATATTCTTTTCCTTTTTTTTTTAGTTTAGTTTTTTTGTGTGTGTTTGTTTTGTTTTCTGTTTTGTTTTGTGTGTGTGTGTGTTTGTGTGTGTTTTTTATTTAATTTTTTATTTTTATTTAATTTTTAATTTTCCATTTGTGCCATTTCAGATTTTTTATAAATGTTGATTTCTTAAAGGGAGTAAGAAAAATAAATTAATCATTTATTATTATTATTATTATTATTATTATTATTATTTATCTATCTAGCCAGCTAGATAATGTTAACTTGATGTTAAATGCAGAATTCGCAACAATGAAACATGAACAACACGAAAGATTTGCAACACGAAAGTTGCCTAATGTTTAGGTATGGTAGCTACACTCTCGCGCTGGGCCTGGACGATCGGTCCATGCTTTTTGTTGAGCCCTGCACTGCTAAGTAACACATAATTGAACCCACTTAAATTTTCTCCTCTCGTTTGCCGCTAAATCCGTCCATCAACCTCCATTGCGTTGTCTTTTTAGTATATTTTGAATGGGGTTCCCTTGAGTCTGTTCAGTCTTTACACTGAGTAAGCAATGGCCTTGTTTCCATTTCCGCATTTTCGTATAATTTAAGTAGTCATAGTTAGTTTAGTTGATTGACAGCTGTGAAAACATTTAAGACTTTTCTGTTTAAGCTTGGAGTTTGCCAACCATGGCTGTTTTCCTAAGCAGAAATGCCTTTAAAAAAAAAAAAAAAGCTGAAAGAAATCATTAGGAGCGAGGAGGGTTAGCCGGCACGCACCGTGACATGCTTGTTTAAGTAGCATTTGAAGGCGGTTATGACAGGCCTATCAGAAGGTGTCAAGCAGTAACTGAGGCTTTAAACTGACTGACGTGAGAATTTTTTATTTGTTAATCCTTACTGTAAGTGCTAAATTGGTTATTGGTGACACATCGATAAGTAAATCTGTCTTTTCTGCTCTTTCTGATCCCAGTTCAGCTAATTCTGCGCTGCTTTCAAACTGCACCAAGGGTATAAAAATAAACACTTCTGTGAAATATTATTACAAATTCTAGCACCGACTTTAGATTAAAGATGTATTTCAACATGAAGCCATTTTCTCCTCTTTTTTTTTTTGTTTGTCTAAAATTCTGCGGGTCATTCAGGTTTTAATTATTTCATCTGTGAACTACAAATGAGTGGGAGCAGGTCTCTTGTTTGCTTTATTCTCAAAACAGATTTTTCCTATTGTTTATAAGTTTCCTATTGTTTATAAATTTATTATGGTTAAATCAATTCACCTGACACATTGAGAAAAAAGGTGAGGTATGATTAGTAAAAATATAAAAATGATGTGCCAGGATCATGCAGAGTGCATTCGAGTTTTCCAATGGGAGTTTCCTAGGCTTCATAATTTAGTAGCGGCTGATTTGTGCATGTCTGTTTAGGTGTGTTCCTCTTTTAAATGCTGTGTCTATTATTTCAGGTTATGGTCTTTGTGCAGCAAAAGCTCAGTATCCTATTGCTGATCTTGTCAAGACAATGTCTGAGCAGGGCAAGAAAGTCAGGTAAGAAACATTCAAACATCTACAGTCGTTTTCAAATCTTTACTGTTGAACTGTTATTCGACACCTTTATTAAGCCACATGTGCACCACAAGATCCATGATACCAGGAGAAAGCTATCCGTTAACATTTCCCATTCATCTCCGTGGCGGATGCAGGACACCCCTTATTAGTAAACAGTGTCCTATGAATTATTGAACTGGATGACACTTGGAATCTCCCCTTTGTTTTCCTAAATCCTCACTCTTGCTTTATTTTCTCTCCTTTGCTTAACTTCTCTAATTATATTATATAACTATTTATCTGTCAAAATTGTAATGGATTTTACCCATCCAAATAATATAGTTATAACAGTTGGTGGTATTTTTTATTTTTTTTTAATTCAGCCTTTGATGTTAACTGTAACCCAGATACTGGATTTCAATACACTGCTGAACAGACTCATGTTTATTAAAAGTCAAGCCAAAATGTCAAACATTTTCCATTATAGTTTAGTCTGTGTAAGTTTTAGTCTCTCTGAGGGGGTCTGAGTCTTGTCAGTACTGCTGGGTGAGTGTTTGAACTCACTAGTTGCAGGTCAGTCTGGTGATCCTCTGAATGGCAGCCTTCTCTCTCCGCTTCTCTCTGCATGTCGGACTCCTCCATTTCAAAGAGTGCTTTTGAATATCGTCATTCAGTTGCTCTATTGTCTGGGGCTTTTGTTGCCTCTCCAGTGTACATGTAATGCCCTGTGATCTGAGAGCGCAGTGTACCCCAGGCCTCCAGTGCTGTGAAAGAGCTGGTGATGAGCAGAGCGACAGGTGCAGGCTATGCAATACTTTCCACCGTCCCGGCGACGCCTCTCAGGTTGCAGGGCGTGGAAAGACCGTGTGCCTGACCCTAGAGATGCTTCAACAACCATGCGCTTTCAGTATTTGTCATACTGATGAGAAGAACATGTAACACAATGTAAAAGTTTCTAATGTTTGTTTTATGCTGTGGATGGTGGCAGTTTTTTACAATGGGACAGTGAAGAAGTGACAGGAGATAAGAAGAAAAAGAGGTGGGATGGGGGAATGACCCGAACCAGGTTTGAACTTGGGTCACCTACACATAAGTGGTACCAAAGTGGTCTATAATATCTGGTCAGAGCATGCCATTAGCATTCCCTTTGTTTTCAATGGTAGTTCGTCAAGTCACAAATTTAACCCTCTACCGCATGGTGTGGCCATATGGCAACATGGTCTTTGTGTTAGCGTGGTAAAAAAAAAAAAAAACTTTTGCTATTTATTGAAATTATATTTATTTTAAACTATTTTATATTTACATTTTTATTTTTTATTTCTATTTTAAAATTTTAAAATGTATAATTATTTTAAAATGTATATTTTGTATGTGTATATAATTATCATATAAATATATTTATTATTACTATTTGTATTTTTTTTTTTTTTA